ACTGCACGTTTCAGGGCATCGTGACAATTTGAGGGAGCCTTTCTCCCAATCAATTTCGGGGTTGTGCTCGCGCAGCCAATCCAACCCAACAATTACATTGATACAACGGTCTATACTCCTATATCGATGCCTGACTCGTAGACGACGAGCGAGGGCTTATGGACAGTGCGTCGTCCTGAAGATCGAGCGAGGAAGTCGAGAATGACCACTACCCCAAGCGAAGAGGAGCAGAGACTTGAATGAATAACCAGGTCGAACTTAGGGTTCGACCGACTAATGGTACAACTACTTATACAAGTACCGACTACGCACGGACCATCGTGTCTATGTGGTCGTGTTAGTGAAGAAAGAAACGTAGTGGTACGATACCAGGCACGAAGTGCGCACGGACCCCATTATGTAAGCTACATAATGTTCAACCTGCGGGTGAGCGCTAAGACAGGCGCCAGTATGGGCGCTAGTAGTACAAGGAATAGAATGGAAAGACAAATGTTTCATTACCCCCCTACCAGAGTCGAAGTCCCATTCGACTACTTACTGTTCACCATCTCCATACAACTCCCAATCTACGCCGTCGTCCTCCTCTTCATCGAACCACTCCTTACGCGCGTTCCTCCCTATGTTCATCCATTCCTCGCCAGAGAGGTGCTTCTGATTCGGCCAGGAGCTGTCCCACGTCCATTGAGTGGTGTCTGGTGTCCAGTCGGGATCGACTTTGCGAAAGACGACGGGTGTATCGGGACGGGGGCGCGAAGGTCCCGCGACGGGACTGGCGGGGGGTTCGGGGTTAGCGCTACGCGGTGGAGGGATGGGTATCGCTTTCGTCTGCCTTTCTTTCTCCTTCCTCTCCTTCGCCTCGTTGATGATTCCTTCGAGAAACACATTGTCGACGACCACCCCCACGCGTCGCGCAGGTTCTTCAGGAGGTGCGGATACATGTCGCTTCATCGGCCTGGTTCCGCACTCTCGCTCCAGGTGTCCAGGGGCTTCTTTTCCGCATCCTGCGCATCGGACGTCCGGACAGTCCCGTACCCAGTGTCGAGATGATCCGCATCGCCTGCAGCTTCCCTTCGGGGTCCAACCAGGGTTGGGTTGCCAGTCAGCTGGGATGGTAGTGCTCCGCGGCTGTCGCGACTTGAGGTCAAGCGACTAGAGAAAACTTGAAGGCTGGGGGCGTCCGACTAAGTCTCACCGAAGCGATGGTGAGCTGTGCTCAAACCTAAGGCTAGGGACAAGAAAGTGTATTAGTTAGTGTAAGGTAAGTAAGAGAATACAGGAGCTTACTGACCTAGGGACAAGAGGTCGAAACTGAGGTCCCTAGGGCAGCAGAGGCCGGTTTATATACATGGGGGGATTAGGGCAGGCTGTGCGCGTTGGTCCGTGCGCAGCTGGTCCGTGCGCAGCATGCTGACGCGGCCCCGGGGGCCGGTGAGTCAGAGCGGCTGTGTCAGCGGAGCCCGAGCTGTGCCGTGCACTGCCGTCCTATCTAATCTAATCGTACAGTAGATAACGATGCGTCCATATCAGGCAGGTAGTACAGAGGTCGTGGGTTCGAGCCCGCGAAAAGGAAAAATTAAAAACGGCTAGGCGCCGTGCCAACTCGTGACATTACCCCCCCCTCAACGGCGCATGACCTTATGCGAGGCGCCCTTGCCCATCTCCCACCCGGAGCGGCAGCGTGCTTCAGTCAGCGGTGAAGGCATTGGCTGAAAGTTGAGACCACCAAATACTGCAGCATTGAGGCGGCGAGGGGCGTTCGGGTTCTTCCGGTGGAAGTCGGCTATGAGGGCTGGCGCATTGGCAACGTTGCGCGCCGGTTCCCATGACGTGTGCGAATCGTCATAACCCTTCCACTTGACGAGGTACTGTAGCTGACGCCGGAAGATCCGCGAATCTTTGATCCGTTCAACCTCGTATTCCTCGTCGCCCTCAACCTCGATCGCAGGCGGCTCCTCCGGCTCCCGGCCCGGGATATCACTACGTGTGTACTTGCTAAGCAGGGAGACATGGAACACCGGGTGTACCGGCACCGACTTCGGCAGGATTTATTCGTAATCCAGGTCTCCGAGCTTTCGCCGCACGGCATATGGCCCGAGGCGCTTGGGACTGAGCTTCTTGCTCGGCTGTTTCAGCTTAAGGTTCCGAGCGTCAAGCCAGACCTTGTCCCCCGGCGCGAAGACCGGTGCCTCCTGCACGTGCTTGTCGTAGTACACCTTCATGCGCTCGGCTGACAGCTCGAGCGCAGAGTGCGTATCATCGCGAATCTCCTTCAGGATCTTGAGCCGATCAGCGGCCGCAGGCATTGCAGACATCGGATTGATCCGAACCTGGATTTCAGGATTGTACCCCTGATGCAGGAAGAACGGGGAGTGCCCGGTTGCGGAGTGAACTTGGTTGTTCAGTGCAAACTCCGCGAGCGGCAACTGCTTTGCCCAATCATCCTGCCTGTGGCTTGTGAAAGCACGCAGGTACTGTTCGACCTCCTGATTCCAGCGCTCAGTCTGGCCGTCTGTCTGAGGGTGGAATGCTGTGGACAGCGCCGGTTCGATTCCCAGTCCCTTGTACACCGCATGGAGATACTTCAAAGCAAACTGGGGACCTCGGTCTGATATGACCTTGGCCGGGGCTCCATGATGCTTGAACACATCGCGGATGTACAGGTCTGCCGCACCTTCTGCCGTCAGGGTCTCATGACAGGCCGAGAAGTGGACTTGCTTGGTAAAGCGGTCGGCGGTGACCAGGATCGAGTCGAATCCATCAGACTTCGGCAAGCCAACGATCATATCCGTGGTAATGATCTGCCATGGGCGCTCGGGGATCTCGTTCGGCTTCAGCGGACCCTGGGGCTTGGCTGGGAATGTCTTGGTACGGTTGCACACGTCGCAGGTGCTTACGTACTCATTGACGAATTTGGACATCCCAGGCCACCAGTAATTCCGCGACACAAGCTCCAGGGTTTTGGCACGACCACCATGACCGGCGATCGGCGAGTCGTGGTGGATCTTGACTATATCTCGCCGGAGCTCCGCATTCTTTGGGACGTACACGCACCCGCGGAACAGCAGGAGCCCTTGTTCGGCATTCCACTCCTCAAAACCCCTTCGCAGCCGGGGCGGCCCGAGGTCCTGTACTTTTTCAAGTGCCTCGGCCACCTCCCGATCTTTCTCCGAACATTCCCTGATGCGCTTCAGAAGCGACTGATTGGCCGTCACCGAGGCATGACCGCGCCTAGCGGAGGCGATGCGGAAGCGCTCTGGCTTGAGAACCACCTGATCGGTGTTATCGTCCTCATCGCCGATCTGGTGATCTGATCGACGCGACAGGGCATCAGCCTTTCCATTGGACGTCCCGGCCTTGTGCGTGATGCGGAAGTCGAAGCGAGCTAGGAACAGCGACCATCGCGCTTGATGGCGCGTGAGGTGCTGGGATGTACGCCAGTACTCAAGGTTCTTATGATCGGTCACGATCTCGAACTGATTGGGTAACCCCTCGAGATAGTGGCGCCAATCGTCTAGCGCCTCAATGATTGCAAGCATCTCCTTATCGTAGATCTCATAGTTCCGCTGTGCCGGATCCATTGCATGGGATCTGAAGGCGATGGGATGCCATTTGCCGTCATCCTGCTTCTGCATCAACACGCCGCCAGTGGCGTAACCCGAGGCATCAACCTCAATGCGCGTCTCCCGATTAGGATCGTACAGCGCTAAGACTGGAGTCGTCGCGAAGAGCCGCTTGAGCTCGTCGAAGGCGTGTTGCTCTTCTTCGCCCCAATGCCATGGGTCGTTCCCTGTGAGTCGGTCGAGTGGCCGCGAGATCTTAGCGAAGTCCTTAATGAAGCGGCGGTAGAAGTTGGAGAACCCCCGGAACTTCTGAACATCTTTCTTGTTCCGGGGTACCGGCCACTCATTAATTCCTTTTAGCTTCGCGGGATCCATCGCTACCTCATCGCCACTGAACACATAGCCGACGTAGTCGACCTTGGGAACGTCCCATTCGCACTTCTCAGGCTTCAGGAATAGATCATTGTCCTGAAGGCGACGAAGAACCTCGCGTGTGACCTTCTCGTGCTCCTCCTTGTTGGTGGAGAAGATGAGTATGTCATCCAGGTATACGAGGATCTTGCCACCAATGATGAGATCGTGGAAGATCTCGTTCATCATGGCCTGGAAGGTCGCAGGGGAATTAGTGAGGCCAAAGAACATCACCAGGGGTTCGTACAGTCCCCGGTTAGTTACGAAGGCCGCCTTCCACTCGTCACCGGCTTTGATCCGGACGTTGTTGTATCCCCATCGGACATCGAACTTCGTAAAGAGCGTAGCGCCACGGAGCTTGTCCACCATCTCGGCGATCAACGGCAGCGGATAGCGATTCTTGACGGTGATCGCGTTCAATCGGCGATAGTCCTGCACGGGTCGAAGCGTCCCTTCCTTCTTTTTGATGAAGAAGAAGGGGGACGAGATGGGCGACTTCGACTCCTGTATGTAACCCTTCGCTAGTTGCTCCTTGAGGAACTTGTCAAGCTCCTCCTGCTCGTTGTTCGACAGGGGGTACACCTTCGAATGGAATGTCGAATAGCCGGGCACGAGTTCGATTGCGTGATCATACGGCTTCCTTTCGGGTAGCCATTCTGATGCTTCCTTGGAGAAGACATTCAGGAACTCGTGGTACTGCTTGGGCACCGACTCCTCGGCGGTCTTAACGACCTTCTTTTTGATCTCCTCCTCAGCGAACAGCTGGGAGTACGTATGTCCTGCTGCGACGAACAGCTGAGGAGCGCCGGGGAGCGTGACACCTTGCTCCCAGGCTTCGATCAAATCGGCTTCGTCCCACTCTACCTCCACCGGATCTTCTTCGGGTTCGAAGTCCGGGAGCACCTTACTCCGGCAGGCCCCTATAACCGACCGTTTGGACTTCGGCGAACGCCTGCGCGCCGTGGGCCTGTCCCCCGTATCACGCACAGTCGTTGCTTGCTCCGTCCGGTTAGTTTTCCTGGCGCTGCACGTCTCAGGGCATCGTGATAATTTTAGGGAGCCTGATTCCCAATCAATTTCAGGGTTGTGCTCTCGTAGCCAATCCAACCCGACGATCACATCCTCTGGACCTATGTCCGTGACCGTAAACACCGTCTTCTCGACGTGTTCTCCTATCTGCATCTGTAGTACGGCTACCTCCGAGATGCTTCCGTCTTTATTGAGCGTTCCATTGATATTGTAAAGCGGGATTGGTTCTTTCAATTTCCGCGTTCGTACTCAATTCTCTGTGATGAAACGCTTGTTGATGAACTTCGTGGTGGCTCCGCTGTCCACCATTGCAACTATGTCCTTGTGCCGTCTTTCTCCTTTGAGGCGCACCGGGATGTGGAAGTGCTGGGACCCGTGGTCCAACTCGTAAACATTCGCGGTCGCCAATACATTGTACAAATTGTTATTACGAGGTCCGACGCGTGCGGCACGAAGCGCGGACCGGATCAAAAACCCTCCTCCTTCATCGTCCGATAGTGCTCGAGCTCCTCGCGCATCGACTTCATCTGTGCTATTAAGTCCGCCAGCTCGGAACTTTCCGATTTCGCTGAAGCGGCGCTTATACTCGCCGAGGATGAAGCGACGGGGGCGCTTGTTGCCGCCTGGGTGGAACCCGAGGCAACCGTAGCCCGCGCATCGGCGCGTTTTGTGTAAGGTTTATCCTTACAGTTAGGGCACTCGAAACAACGGTACCCTTGCTTCCCACAGCCGAAGCATGTGCCGGGGAAGTTGCCTTTTCCGACGGCCGCATTGATGCTGGCCGAAGCTGCGTGCGTCGAGGGTGCACCACCACGTGCCCCACCGCGTCCTCGACCTCGGGCCGAGAAGAAGTTATTTAGCTCGGGCCGACGGGCCCGGCTGATGTCGAGGATCTGTTCGACCTCAGTGGCGCGCTTGTCAGCGTCTTGCCACGTGGTGAAAGTCTCGAGCTCGAATCTTGCGATA